CGCGCCACCGACGGGACACCCCCTGCCACCGCGCGCCGGGGAGGGGGGAGGGGCGAACAACCGGCTCCACAGCCGCTAGCGACGGCGGCATCATTCCTCGCGCGCCCACGCAGCTTCGCCTCTCCCGCGCGCAAGACACGAACGCGAAACCGAACTGCGATCTCACCCCCTAACTTTCGATCTTCGATGGCGCGTTTGCCCTCGGCGGCGCCTCGCGAGGCGTCTCCGACTTGTCTGGCGGTCTTCCGTCTCACGCGGTGGTGCTGAGTGCGAGGTGCTTGTTCGGAGGAAAAGTCGCCGAGGGCGTGAGCGATCTCCTAGGGGTGAGCGTGGTATGTAGATCTTTCCCTGGCACGGGGGGACTTGGCAACACAGCCGGGATCCTCCAGTACGTCGCTCAACTGTGCTCTCGAGTCGCTCCTCATGTCCGCTGCGTTTCTCAGGCGCTCTGTGCCCTCTGCAGTTGCCCTCGGGAGAGGGTTACATCCTTGGGTAGGGGAACGAAGAATGACATAAACATAAAAACTCGGAGGTCCGCGCGGATTTCTCGGATCGGCGCTGGACCCCCCTCCCCGGCGCGCGGAGCGCGCCAGAAGCGGCGCCAGAGGGGCCGCCAGGGGGTCCAGCGCCGATCCGAGAAATCCGCGCGGACCTCCGAGTTTTTATGTTTATGTCATTGCTCGTTTCCCTAATCCACCTGTCACCGGGCGCGTTCCATCCACTACTGGAAAAGCGCCTACTCGCAAACGTCCGAAAAACAATGCGTTCCTTTGTGTAATGTATCGTAAATCCCCCGCGGCGGATCCAGGCTATTTGCGAGCAGCTACTTTGCGAGTCGTGGAGCGCGCTTGTCCACCCTGGGTGTTCTCGGTCGTTGACCCTGGCTGTAGCATGTCCGTCCTCGGGAGCTCGTCGGCGCCCCACAGGGGGACGGGCTCAGCGCCTGCAGCTCGGCCCAGGCGTGCATCCAGCAAGAGCGGCGACCTCTTGCTCTTGCCAGCCCCTGCGGGCTGCCGTCGGCTTCTGTCGGCTGCTGTCGCCTGCTATCGGGCTTCCTGTATTCTTTTCTCGCCAACGCTCGGCGCTTCGCGCACGGTCGGGCCGAGGTATAAGATCGAAGTTGGTTCGGGGAGGGCCCCCTCGTGTTCTTCGTGCTTGTTGGATGTTCTTGCGCAGCCTGGGGGAGGGCACCCTCGAGTGATCGTATGGTTTGGGGTGTTTTGGCCGGTGGACGGTCTTATGTTCTTAAAGTATGCTCTTCTGTCCTAGGTCCGACCGTATCCCTACCAGTCACTTCACAAACGCTGCCCAGAGAAGTTGTCAGTAGGAGGAGCGTTGGTAAGCATACATTGAAGCAGCGAAGCCTGCAATTGTGATGTTCGAGTCCTCGGCGAGCCTCTTGGAGCCATCTTGGGGCCATTTTGGAAGCCTTCGGGGCTCCCTTGGGGCCCTGTTGGGCCTCTTTTGGGGCCCGTTCGGGATCTTTCGGGGCCTTGAGGGGCCTCGTGAGGCCATCTAGGGGGCCACCGATCAAAAAGGAGGGCGGTGTCAAGTACGGTCCCCCCTCGGAGGCCGAAAAATCACCTCTTGGGGGGCGCTTGGGCGCTCCTGGGGCCGTCGTGGGCCCTGCTTGGGCCCCTTAGGGGCTCTCTTGGGCAATCTTGGAGCCACCTGGAGGCCTCAGAAACACATCATAAGCGACAAGGCGAGAAGGCAACAACCATTGATTTTCTTTTGGTTTCGACGATTTTGGTCCTCTCGGGGTCCTTGGGACTTGGAGCGGTCTTGGGGCCTCTTGGAGGCATGCTGGGGGGTATCTTAAACTATCTTGGGATATTGGAGTCCATCTTGGCCTTTCGGGGCCATCTTGGACGCTACAACGCCTCGCGATCGGGCCCGTCGAGATCCAAGCAGATGCGGCAGAAGAAAAGGTAAGCCTCTCTCCAATGGGGAAGAAAGGGTTGGAAGAACTCACTCGCTAAACCACCTACACCCAAAGCGCTGGTGGGACTACCCGCAGCACTTGCGACCGCAATGACGAGAGCTGGCTGTTGGGAGGGGGCCTTTGTTTTCTCGCAACAGTCTGCACCAGGGGCAGGGTGGAGGGGCCTTCCAGTCACTCTAAAAGAAGCTCGCCATTGAGGGCCTGATGTCTTGCAGCGTATTGTTTCGTTTATGAATGAAGGGCGGAAGCGGCAGTACCGAGAACCTTGTCCAAGGACCAAGCTGCTCCCCTAGCCCCCTAGAAGATCTGTTTGGCAGGTAGACCCAGGAACGTCTCGACAAACCCGTACCGACTCGAAGACTCGCCCCCACCTCTCTCGCCCTGCCTGGTATTGCGAAGGCCTTACGGCCGGTGCCGCCGACC